AGAAAAATTAAACAGCTACTATATAAACGACTTGCGAATGTTCAGAAGTTACTGATTCTTACAATAATTTCATTTACTATCGATACATTAAACCATATACATGTTCATTCATATATTTTATTATGTATCTATTTCTTACTATGACTGCCATTTTATTATCAGTTGAATTAAATGTGCTCTGGTTTCGAAAATTCAATATAAGCTTCTTATCCACATAAAAGTACACGAATAAAATAGAATTTGTATATAAAAAATAACTTGGATCTTTAATGAGTTCACATTTGTTCACAACGTAAAGTATTTGAACCAACGGTACTCCAACTGTTTATTCTCTTTGACACATAAGGAATAAACGAAACAATAATTTTGTTAGTTTTTGTTTTATATCCATTTTATTAAGGCAGTATTGTTAGACTGCTATTTCGTAAATACAGATATTTGTATACAAGCAAAAATGCTTATTACAAATTTCTAGTAAAATTTAGCAACAGGATTAACTGCTATAGCTATTTTTATCATTTAACTACAGGAAAATTTACATCTTAGAATAATTTACTATAAGATAGTAATTGCAAGAACAAATTATACATAGTTATGCATAAAATCTATACATACTTATCTCTATACATATAAATGCTATTTATTATCTGGGGCTATACAATAAATTTGAGTGATTCACATAAGCATAGACGAATTTAACATTTAAAATTAATAATTTTGATAAAAATTAAAATATTTAAAAATAGATTTTTATATTAAAAACTTCATATACACATTGAATAATATGAAATAATAAAACAATGAAACAAGTTATTTTGTAAAAGATTAAAAATGAATTAAAACAAAAGCTATAAATTTTGTATCAAATCATTATTTTTTATAATATCACAAATGAAAAATATATATGAAGTTTTATTTTACTAATATATATAGTTTCAGCTAATGCAAGAAAATATTTTCTATGTTGATATTAATTTTGTATATTTTTTAGATTTAAGTTTGCGACTAAATTTTAAATAAATATAAAAAATTTTATTGTGAAAATGGATATAATTTGGATGTAATAATGGATCGTAAAAAGTTTATAAAATATTTTTATATATTTTATTAACTTTTTAAAAATTATAATGTGCAATTTGTAAAATATGATAAATATTATTACACCAGTAAATAAAAGAATGTTAATAGCATATATTTCATATGTTTTTTTAAGATACCCATTCATCATATCTCAAAGAAAATGCTCAGTAATTGTTAAATCAATATGGAACTTATTACATAATGATTTTAAATGTGCTATAGGATACACCTTCTTTAATAACTATGCACGTTGTGAATACGTCATTAATATTTTTGTACAATTTTATAGAATAAATTATCAATTGGACTAAAATGTATATTATTAACAGTCTGTATTGAATTGTCAAGAATTAAAAAATACTAGGATAATAGTAAAATAGAAAATACTTTAAATACCATTTAAATAATTAATCAAAAGCTTAATCTAACTCAACAATCTAATATGATTTCAATTATAAAATGATGTTGATCAATAAGTGTATCAAAAACTTTGCTTCCTTAAAATTTCAAGCTGATCTGTTTATTTAATAATACAATACATGCACTATATATACACTAGATTTAATAAAAGATAAAATACTAATGATAGTTGAATAAAGGTTATACTTATTATCATGACCTATATTAATTTTTTAAGTTGACATTTAATATTTTTGTTACATACAATGTTTTTATTTCAGCTATATTAATTTCTAAATTTAATGATGACTAGTAATATACATATTTAATCATTTTGTAAATGCTGAGTAGAATACATTAACATTTTATTAAAGTTATACAAATTTCTGTACTTGACAATAATTGAATTGACTTGTTACTTCGAATATTTTTATTTAATATAAAACAAAATTTAATATATTGAATCATCACTTTAAGTTCATAAATAGTAATCCAAAAAGCATAAAGTAATGAAATTATAAAAACATTTTTATTGTAAAGATACATATAATATCTTGGAAGTTCTGCTTTTTTAATCTATTTTATATTTTTATTGATTTTTAGTTTTAAAATAATTTCATAACATGCAACTATTAATAAAACACTATATTAAGTCAATAATTATGATAAAAGAAATTGTTATAAAGTTATTGATATACAATTTAGTAAAGATCTTTTTATTTAAAAATGTTTGTAATCTTTCTCTATGAATGAATGTATATCACCACTTATTTTTTTATTAATTTAGAATAATAGAATAGCTTTTGCTATTATTAAAAAAATAATTAATTAATTTGATTTATTTACATTTAGATTCTTTTAACCAGAAGTTTTTAACATGATTTATTTGTGGTACAATATCTATTTATTAATTTATTAGTTATATAAAAAAATGATACTTCGATTCCAATAGAATTTTTTCAATGAATTTCCATAAAAAGCCAGAAAGTTAAAAATGATGAAAATAATAAGTCTCATTTCACTATTAAAAATTTAAATTAAAATTATTTAATATAATTCATTTATTAAAAAAAAAAGAAATTTTATATAATTTGTTACAATAATAATAACATAAAAGAAAATTATTTTCAACACACAAAAACTAGTTAATATACTTATTTCCAGAAATTGATATCTATAATTAAATGTTTTTTATACCAAAACTATTTCCATTAAATTTTGTTATAGAAGGTAAGACAATAGGTGTTCAGTTGGTCAGCACAAACTAGCATTAGATTTTATTACATAATTCTTTTTTTTTTAATTTTATACATATGTTTATGTTAGAATTCTATTTTCATATATTTTATAATTGTATTTTAAAATAAACCTGAAACTAATCTAAATCAATATTATTGAATTAATTTTTTAATAGAAATACTCGTATTGTATAATTCTTAAAAGTACTGAACTTTCATTCAGCTATAATTAATTATAGTTAATAAATGGATCAAGACTTAAGGTACTTATATTTGTGGTACTTATGATTTTTTAGATCATTTATGGAAAACAGTTATATTAATTTGTTTTTATTTGATATAAATTTAATAACATTTATAATAATATTCATTTTAATTTAATTAATGCTCGATATTTGTTCATTTTTTATAATGTTATAAAAAAATTAAATAAAATTATAAATATGAACTTGAATAATATATTTAATAATTTGTTTTAAACATATACAATAAATTTATTTATATATTATATCCCCAATGAAAATTAATTTTAAACCCTCTAAGTGGTCAAATGAATGTATTTAATATTTTTAAAAAATAACTATTTATTATATTAATAATTATATTTTGATTTAAAATTTTCAATCTATCAAATTATATACAGTGTGAATATTTTAATTATTTTTTAATTTTATAGACTTATAAATGCTTAATTTGACTGATAAAACTGCTTATTAAATCTAATATATTTTACCAAAATACCAAAACCAAAAATTAATTTTATTTATACTTTAAAAAAGATAAGTAGATTTGGAGACATCTGTATATATTATATTGTTTTTGTCTTTATCTGCTAATTTATGAATGTACTAAATGTAAAAATTATTTAATTTAAAATTCAATTTTTAAAAAATGAATTTGTATTAATCAAAATAAAAGTTTTTGATTAATTTTAAACAATAATTATAGAATTGGATAGTAATTACAGTTTACTGTATTTAAAAATATTTAAAAAAAAATTCTAGTTTAATATTCATAAAAACTTGGTTATGATTAAGTATAAATATTGTAAATACAATAATGTTTCGATCTTCGAATACTTAAAATTTTTTAAATACATTCTTTTATTATTTTATCAATAACTATTATAAAATGTATTCATAGAAACTTACCGATATAGTATTTTTAATGTCTTTGTATCCGTATCTTTTATATATTTGGAGTAATGAAGAATTATTACAAGTAATATTTTTTAAATATGATGTATTTAATAAATTAATATAACAAATTTTTCTAGTATAAGATTTTATATGAGAATTAATTTTAAATCCTCCAAGTGTCCATATGTATCTATTTAACATTTTTACAAAAATTATCTTCGTATAAATATAGCTGCTAGTTACTTTTAGAACATTACATTATATTGAAATACATAACCTACATTCTGATTGGTAAATTTAAAAGTAATTATATTAGATAATTAACTTAATATAAGTTAGTAAGAATATAGGGAATTAGTAGATTCGTATGCGCTCTAGGTTCTATGCCATTCAATTTAAGTAATGCCTGCATATGTGCATTTATATACTTTATATTATGTATGTCTATAGTATATATATTAAAGGCCCAAAAAAGTTATTTTTATCTGATACCGAAATATATTTCATTTATAAAACAATTGTAAATTATTTTAATAATACAAGTTTGTTTTTAATATTCTATCAATTTCTTATTTTCTTTTATATTTTGAATACAGGGAATATTTTTACTTCTTTTGCTTTTTATATTTAACATTTTCGGAAGTAATAAGATAAAATTCTATATATATTCGTATTTTCTAGAAATATATTAATGAATTGAATTAATATAACGTAGAAAAATAATTATATTGAACACTAATTCCAGCTTATCGTTCAAAATAATATTTCAGCTTTACAATTTTTCTACCATTTGATGAAAATTTTCATCTTAAGTAATCGTTCTATACGTCTGTAAAAATATCTATTTAAAACATATTCTTACATTTGCAAATGTATATTAAATTGTTGAATTAAAGTAGAATTAAATCATATAATAAGTAACTTGTATTAATTGTAATTATATTTTTTGTGAAGTATCAATAAAAATTTTCTGTTAGTTCCACATAGAAATAAATCATAAAGATGACAAGACTTAATTTATATAGCTTATATTTTTAATTTTTACAAATTTTTAACTTAAAATCATAAATTGTATTTTTTTAAGAAAATAGTATTTATTAAGTTTTTCTTTTAATTTAAATTGTATATACATTATTTTTATGTATTAGAACTTTCTGACTATAAGTTCCAACTGAAGTGATATGTAATCATCCAAAATATGATTAGAAAAATAATATTATTTAACGTATACGGTCAGATTGTTAAAGTCCAGACATGCTCGAAGTTTTTTTGCTTTTATTATTATTTTGTTAAAGAATCGTCAGTTGTCAAGCAGTCAGTCATCCATCATCAATAATAGTTTATATTGCAATATACGCCTGTGATTCTGTTAATGCTGACAAAATAAATATATTCATATATTTATAATTTATTATCTATATAACGATAAATTTTATTTAGTATATTTCTGGAATAGTTAAAATTTTAAAAAATATAAAATATTTTATATACATTTATAGATTCAATTTAAAAAATGGTTACTTAAAAAAAAATTAAATAGACAATATTATAAATATATGTAGTATATAGGTACACTGGGAAAAATATCTATAATCCAATATAAACGAATTAAATATTAATATATTAGAGAAAATTACATAAATTAATTAAAATTCTGTAAGTTCATATAAATAATAAAAAATATATTTAAATTAAAATAATAAAATTATTAATAAATATAATTAATTAATAAATTGATGTAAAATAAACTCAATTCAAAATTTTATTCTATTAATACGATAGAAAATTAAAAATAATAATTATATACTATTTTTATTTAATACTACAAAATAATAGTTCCAGATATTTATTAATTATTTTATTATTCTTATATTTAAATAATAATCTTTAAATATTATTTACACAAATAAATTTGTAGATTCGTTAGATAAATGTATTTGGTTTAAATTATAATCATTTGCGTGTCTCATGTCATCTCCTGGCCAAGCTCTTCCTGGACTACGATTACTTTCTACTGACTTTTGAACAGAATCAACTGCTAAACTGACCGTAGCCGTATCGCTTATTCCATTACTATGAATGCATCTTGAATTAGAAGATGATCTCATATTTTTCCGCATCTAAAATTATAATTCTATTATTTTATATAAAGTGATTTGAATGATAGTTTATATACAAAATTTTTTTTGAATGTAGGTTATGTATTGATTAAAATTTATATATTGCAAAATAATAAAATATTATTTAATTTTATAGATATTACTTGAATGTAAAGCGATTGATTTTTCTGACTTATATAAATAAATATCAGTTGTAGTAGTAGAGTGTGAATATTTGTTTCGTTTAAATAGCAAGTATTTAATGAATTCATCATTTCTTTTATTCTGTTGAAAAAAATAAAGGGCTGTTATTGCGGCAATATCTGCAGCTAATCATATTAAATGCAGGTTCATGCTTTTTATAGCGTGTCAATATTAAAGACAATGAAGCATCTTCTTTATAGTTTTACCTGCCTTTTCAATCATAAAGAGGAATTTTATAACTTTTACTTTTCTTATCTTCAAGTAACATTAGGATATTACTCTTGTTGTATTGTTATGGAACCTAACTGTTGCAATCATTTTTCTAAATTCTGATATATTTCACTTCATATTTGACTATTTCCTTATGTCTTGATATCTTATCTGTAGGTATTCCTGTCCTTCATACTTATATGCAACTGGTATTACAGTATTAATTCATAAAATGCATTATTTTAACATAAATATACAGCATTATTACATAAGCACTTTATTCTTCACATATTACTCGAGTTTGTTAACATACTTGTTTATTAATATAATTAACTGAGTTCGACTTTCTAATAATTCAATAATATTTCTTTAATTACGAAGCTAGAGACTATTATTTAATTTTATTTTTTCAATATAGAGCAGAATTTTTTAGATTATACTAATAGCAGCATTTATTTAGGTTCTTTGGATAGAGTTATTATCAATATCTTTATATTGTTTTTTATTATATTTTCATCAGTATTAGAACGTAAAAAATAATAGTTTTGATGTGAATTTTATAATTATAGCATCAGATCTTTTAGACATTGTTTTGTTTAGTGCCTACATGCCTATGTGCCTACATGTTTAGTCTATTAATGTATTGAATTACTTAATATATTATAATTCCAAAAATGTTATAATGTTAAAATTAAATTTTGACATTATTCATAATTTTTTCTAATATTTTAACACAATAGAACTGCCTTTATTTTATAGTTATTTTGCAATTAAAATTTTGTAAGATCTACTTATTTCGAAATTCATGGAAAAAGAAAGTAATCAAACTCATTGTCAATTGTTTTACATTTTATGGAGACTTAATCATGACATGACAAATAGTTTCTTCACTTATACATATACAATTATTTTCGCAGTCTCTAGCTACCCAACAAAATATGTCTTTTAAAAACAAGTTTATGCATTCAATAAACAAAAACTATATTAACTGAGTTCAGCAATATCAATTGAGACCAAAAAAGAATTTATTTTTAATCGCAACGAGGATTCTATCACAGATAGAATTGGTAAAGGAATCAAATAACATCTAAAATAACTGAATAGAATAATAAGAACGAATAATACGATTAAATGAAATGAAATTGGTAATTGAATTAAATAACATCTAAAATAACAAAATAGAATGATAAGAACGATGAATGCTCTACACCGTATTACTCTGTTTAATATGCTAGAGAATAAAATGCAGTAACAAAATATACATAATTTATATATTTTTTAGCTTGATGTTGTAGAGGATCTATAATCTTTTCTTACATGCAAATCGAAAATTGAAAAATTTACCGAATAATTTACTTGTGAAATATTTATTGAAATTTTTAATATAACTTTTAAAAAATATATGAACAAATATTGCACTTAAATTATTTATGTATTTTTTTAAAATTTAGTAAATTTATACAATCGTAAAATATTCTTATTATGATCAATAATTTATAAAAATTGCATTGACTATAATATTATAAATATCGATAAAACTGATATTCTTCTAAGATCCGTGATTTTAATTTAAAAATTAGATATGAAAGAGATTAAAATTATCCATTAAAGTTACTTGTACTTTCTTTTAGTTATATGTTTGAAATTTTAATGTATTTGCATCATGAATTTTATAATACATCCAAGTAAGTATTCACTATATCTATTTATATATAAAGATACAACTGTTTAAATTTGAAACTTTCTGAGCGATATTATTAAATTAATTATTAAATATTCTATTAAATTAAAAAATGTATCTGTATTCAATAAACCTAAATAAAATTATATCTTTTTTAATTTTCATTATTTTCGCAGACTAAAAATTTAACGTTGAATTTTTCAAGTTTTATTGAAAGAAAATGATTAGTACCAATTTTTAATAATCCATATTTAATTTAAGTATGTGATATTAACTTTTAACTATTTTCTGTTCTTTTCGTTATTTGTAAGTATAATTTTCACACTAATTATTTGTTTGATATTTATGTTGGTGGTAATTAGACTATAAATAAATGAAGTCTAATTGTTATATTTGCATTTTACTTCTATAAGTGCATAAATTTGTATCACATAATATGTTAGCATTCCTGAGCAAAAGTGAAACTCGTCTTTTGTCTAGCAATATTTCAGGTTAATGTTTGATTTATCATTAATTAGAATGTTTTCTTTAACAGAGTCTAATATATAATCAATGAACAATGAACAGTTATTGATCTATTAATTCTCTTTATAATACTTTGTTTCAGTTTTTATATGAAATGATTGTATTTTTCCATAAAAGTTTTGGGTACATAAAAATTAGCAAATAATATTACAGTAATAATAATAAACATAATCCATACGCATACTTGTGACTCTCGAGCGTATAAGTGTATATATATTATAATCTCAATAAATTTTAGGTGAATGCAAAGCACTATATCTTGCTTTTGTATTCAAGGAAGGTAATATTTACAATATAGCGATATATATATATATATATTTAATTAACTGTATATATAGAAATTGTTTATTTTCATAGGTATTATTGTCATTATTTAATACTAACTTATTTAATACGTATTAGAAATCTTACTTTTAATTACTGAAGCAAAAATTCTTTGTATTATATTTGGTAATTATATCTTTATAAATAATAATATATAGCAGTAATATTACCTCTACTGTTCCTCTCCATTTATCAGCAGCGTGTCTTGCTAATTCTATTTGTTTTTGTTTCCTAATTTGATGTTTCTTATAAGCCATTTCAATAATTATAAGCATAATACCACCGATTATTCCGGCTCCTACCAAAATAAATACTCCAGCCATATTTTTCAATCCTAAAGTATTAGGGGTTTTCTCAAATTGTTCACATTGTTGTAGGTTTCCTTGTAAAATCCAATAATTATCTAAACTTTCCATGAATCCACCTAATAAATAAAAAGATAATCATTAATAAATTATATGATTATTTGTCCTTTTTTATTTAAAACTTCATCAAATGTAATTAATTAATTAATTATATTTTTATAACATTTTTTTGTACATTTCTTTTATACATTTGAATATTTGAGATATTTGAATTTTTAAGTATAATTTTTTACAAACAGTATTTTATCATATTAAGACTGTGCATAATAAAAATTATATTTACAGTTCTGTTGAAAGAGCTGTCTAAAAATAGAGTACCGCGCGAAGAAGGTCAAGTATCTAAGATTAGGTGTGAGCTCCCGATGTTGATAGGAGGATTACAGGCTAGTGGACAAGATAGTACATGTATTCAATAAAAAGTAGTTTTGTTATTTAGTTTTGTTTTATTTATATAATTGCACTAGTTGATTATAATGAGTTTTCTTTTATGATTGAGCGCTTGCTTTTCTTGATTTGTATATGTTATTGCCACTAAGCGTTCACGTACGTCGGATGGAATAATACACACAGAAGAGCGAGATCGTAAATCCCCGCGCTTCTTTGAATATGAGCACGTGGCGATTGCTATAATTGCTTGTATTTGTGTTCTGCAGATAGCTTTACGTATCTGCAGATTGGCGCGTATGGCTTGATATAGTTATATATTAATTAGGAATAGAACGTTACCTCGTAGTTCTGCACGTTATGTTTAGCTATGTTTGTGTTGTTTCTTGAATTTGCCTCGAGCGGCTACTTGCAATTGATTGTCTATATTGTGCGAACTGATATTCGTAGTTATCGATTCCCTTTTTTACTTGTCTTGCACTGCTGCGAGTGTATGATTTGATTATCTAGCACTTATGTTGAATAGAATAATCTTGCGTGATTAGCTTGGACTTTCTGATTGTTTGACTGCGTTTAATTGACTTGTTCTTTTTCTGTTAGATAAGATAAGTGATTGTGCCTTGCCGGCGTCGGCTTTTTAAAGCCTTCTCTCGACCATGCGGTGGTCAGTGAGAATTCCCTCTCTTTTGGTCTCGCCAATCAGAGCTGTCTTGTCGATCATGGCGTCGCCAATGAGATTTCGTCTTATTAGTGTGTCCAATTAGAAATCTTTAGCTTATGGCATTTCTAATCAAGGCGCCTTTTGAGTTGTGGGGTCTCCCACCAGTGAGTCTTTTCAAGATGGAGGCTCCAATGAGAGCGGGACTTGCTCAACTCCCCTCCATGACGAGGAACTTGATGCCGCGCTTTTCCCTCTCCATCCCAGTATCGTCGCATACATTTCATGGAATCATGCGCGTTGCGATCGGACAGTGTTGTGAAGGTTAGGTGTAGCATTGTTTTTGAGTGGATCATCTGGCTTGTGTTTGTCAGACTAATTTTATAATTTGTTTACGCCAGATGTTTCGTCGCCAAATCTCGTCGCATTAGTTTTATTACGTGTTTTTGCTGGACACTTGGACCTTTGTTCCCGCCAGATGTGCTTATGAATTGTATTATCTTTAGATATTCGAAGTTTTGCTGAATTGTTTAGATTTAGTTAATCCGAGGCGCGTTTGAATGTTTATTCCTTGAGTAGTCGAGAGTTCGCTTTTTTCGGAACTCTTATCTTGAATTTTCCAGATGTTAAATGAGCTGGGAGTTTTCTTACATTCTCGAACAAGAGCATTTATCGTGATAATCGAATATTTTAGGTTCGATTGTTGACTAAGTGAAATAATATATTTTTTAATATTTTTTTTTAATTCATTATTATTATTATTGTATTCTTAAGATAATTTTGTCTAACAAAAAATTTGATATCTATTGTTCTTTATAATTTTTTAGCTTCTAGTGAATACTAATAAAAAAACATTACAAATTATACATGATAAGTATAATAAGTTAATTTTATGTAATATTCATAATTTTATTTAGAATTTTCTTAGATATTTCTTTTATTAAATCAAAATAATAGATCTTAAAATTCGCATGGCAATCATTTTCATGACATCAATCATGCTGCTCAGGATTGAACTACCCAGCAATGAAAATTTATTGCTTTATTTAATATGATTCCATTACATTTATATTTATTATTAATGCGTAATATTTGAAGTATTCGCTATGAAAATTCTCGATGAAATTTAAGCCTTATGTTGTATCCGCATAGCAACAAAGAAAGATTCTCGAATTTACTAAAGCTTAATTTTCGACAATTTGACAGAATTTCCAAGAATTCTACGTGATCTAAGTGTACGAAATCATATATAAAGAGCGACAGACGATGAAGCAAATTAGTCTTGTTCAGTAAGTCAAAGTGAAATAGTACAAGTCACAACAGTTAAAAGTTCTACACGTCTGTCTACGGGAATCCGAGCAAGGTATACTTATTTGTTTACAATATTTATTATCTATTGCTGGCTAGCTATCGGTGCCCCGACATAGACTGGCATTTCCAGCACCTTTTTTAAACTACATGTAAGTTTCGCGGCCCACGTCTACACTATTGGTTAGACCCACTCAACTTAATTCTTATCAGACCGCTAAGGATGGCGCCGATACTGACTAGTGATCCCCGCCAAATTATCATTACACTCGTGGCCCACACCTACACTATCGATTAGGCCCTTGCAACTTGATTCTTATCAGACCGCTAAAGAGGGTGCCGATACTGACTGGTGTTCCCCGCCAAATCATTAATGTGGCACTGCGATTATTTTATCGGTCACATCGCAACGAGTTGGTTCTGATCAAACCACAAAAGAGGGCGTCGACAATCCGTAATAGTCCCAACTACCTTCACGAGCCGAATCTTGCTTAGTAAAATCTATCGCTGATTCACACGCCTAAGCAGTCGCGAGCTGGACAACGCTCAGTACAATTCTAGCGCCGACTCAGGTGACTAGGCATTCATGAGCGGAACAATGCGCCACTAATTTGATCGCCGATTCAATCAACTAGGCATTGGCTAGCCGAACAACGAGCCGCTAATTTATCACCAAATCGAACGTCAAGCTTTCGCGAGCCGAACAACGCGCTGCTAATTTCTCAGCGAACATCAAGTATTCGCGGGCTAAACAACGCGCCGTAAAATTGATTGCCATCAAGAAAGTTGCAAGCCCAACAGGGCTCTCCGAAAAGCCATGGTCGAATGTATTGTTTAATAATTCTTGAACTGAAGAGACTCCTTTAATTTAGGAACTAAATGTACCCAGTACTCCCAATTTACCTTCTCAGACTTGCATTCCCAGATGACGTTCCAACTTAATGGACAACTGCCTAATTACTGCAAATTCAACAATTCTCAATAGAATCAGTAACATAAACATCACTGTAACAACTACTTTAATAAAGGTCATTAAAACCAATTGTGTTTAATTTGAATTAATGAATTAACCTCTCGCACCCCCCCCCCACCATCGCCATTAAACCGGTAGTACGGTCTAACCCATCCACCGTGATCTGTGATCATACTGGTGGCTGGAATTCCAAACATTTGATGACCTTCCAAATACTTCGCGAGTCTTGCGATACTGTCTCCTATAAGGATCGCTGATGAGAGCGCCCATGGTCTCACGACTCTTGCGATTATCTCCCTACTAATAATTGCCGAAAAAGAGCGCCCATGGATTCACGACTCTCGCGATTCTTGCCACACGAATAATCGCCGATAAAATCGCCCATGGATTCGCGACTCTTACGATTCTCTCCCCCATTAAAAACAATAACGCGTGCCCAGTACAACCAGCACAGTCTTTGCCTTGCACTCCCGGACGACGTTCTACAGTTTATGGTCAACTGTTAAAACACGACGGGCTCAACAATTCTCATAACGATCGGTAACAACAACTACCAATGTAACATAACCTTAAATAAAGGTCACTAAAATCAATTGTGTTTACACTGAATTGATGCATTAACGCCCCCCCCCCACTAAACCGGTGGTACAGTTTTATCCAACAACCTTGATCTTCGGACTATTCTGGTGGCTGGAATTCCAAACACATGCAAATTTAGTTTTTTTCTAGATTCTTCATAATTTATTTTATATTTTATTTACTTTTATTTAAATAAATTATGTTGCAGAACACTTTACAATTTAACAAAAACTTTTGTTCTATTTCTATATTCATAGTCTTTAGCAATTCGTAAAATTAAATAATGTATATTACACTTCTAAGAACTTTTAGTTAATATGAATACTTTTTTTTACCGGATAGAAATAGAATTTTTTTAATGTAAATATTAACAACAAAAATTATCTTTGAAGTTTTCAGTTACAAAAATATTAGTTATAGAACAGGTATATGTATTTTTTAAATATTTTTAATAAAGTTTCTAAAATTTTGATTATTCGACATAATTTAATCAAATTTCTTAAATTAATGATCATATTTTCTTAGTCAACCTTTTCAAATATTTTTTCAAGAAAGTATTAACAAATTTCTTAACTATTATCAAAAATATACTTATTTGTTTTCTATTTATAACTTCTTAAAAATAAAAAACAAATTTAACATTGAAAATATAACTTAATCTTAAAAATTCAATTTCTATATACAAATTTTCATTTCAGCCTGTTATCTAATGTTAAATTTAATCTTGTAGTTAATAAATATTATATTATATTTATAAACTCCATATAATGATACCGACGTGACTGCAATTCATATTTTGGATAACAATACCAAAATAGAATATATTTATATGTAGTTGAATTAATTAATTGATATATGATAATTTGGATTGAATTTTAGAATATAATAAAATTGATTTAATATAGAATACAATAAATTTATAAATTATATTTTTTATTTATAATCTATGTTTTAGTTAAATGACGAATAAAATGTATAAAAGTACATAAAAGCTAAATGTATTCTAAAAAGATGACATTAGCATAACTAGCACAGATGGACTACCTCTTCAGATACCCTTTCAAGTTTTATTGAAAACTCTCTAGGGATATTAAATTGCGTAGGATAACTAAATCTGCATTTGATTTACACAATACGAAGTATTAACTAAAATTATATATAATACTGGATATATAATATTTAGATAGTAAGTTAAAAGTTCTAAGTATTTCATATTATAAACAACAGTTCATAATCAAAACTAACTTAAATCAAATATTTAAAATTGAAAATATCGAAGAAACAATGAAATCAGAGTGTTCGAAAGTTTGGTTTCTGACTCGAACTGCCAAGTTCAATAGTTCAATTTATTTGTCTCTTGCCTTAGCGATGCTTAGAAAAGGATACACGTGGAAGGGCTGTAAGTATGTATAGTGTGTAACTTCGTTTAGGACATCGTTTATTTAGTTGTATTTACAATTAAATTATTGTTGTTCTATATCCATTTTTGTGGGAGAGAAGAAATTATTCTATCACAAGGATGTAGTTGCTCCTTGGTGATGGTGGCGATGTCGTTGACAATGTTATGGGGATCATCAATGGATTTTGTATATTCCCTGAAGGGGAATATGGCTTGTTGAGATCTATGCTAACGTTGTAAAGGTCAACAAGAAGAGTATACCATACTCATAAGGTGAGCATGGGAATGTGATAGTGGTAGTTAGCAGCGATTAGCAAAGAGAACCGACCATGCTCATAAGGGGAGTATGGGAATGTCTGTGTGGTAGTTATTCCTAATAAAGACCAGAATGATATACCTTCGAGTGTAGAAGGGTCAGGTACTATGCTTTGTGTAATCGACTATTTTCTAGAACGGCAGTCAGCCCGTGACTAGTTGTTGACCGTGCGCACTGGAGAATTGAACTAGCGTTCCTTGGAATGGCTGCACCGAGAGAGGATGTGTTGCGTGACTTTCTCTTTGTTATAGACTCCGTGTGATGGTGTGGCTAGGGCGTAGATGACTGGCTAGGACGAGTGACTGATTGTGAGGAATAACTGATACTGCACACTTAATGACTACTGACACTATGTACTGATTGACTGCTTTATGTTAACTACCTGGAGTATTCACACGTGCTTCCTTAAGTATCAGCGCGGCAACTAACACTCGAAACAAGACTTAGATGTTGCTATGTGAAGGCTAAGCAGCCTTGTATAACATACGAGAATTCTAAGCTTTTGACTAGTCGGGAATTCGACATGCGAAAATGTAAACTTACCAAGAACCGAAGGCCTCGAATGAATGCTCCAATTCCGAACACAGAGTAATTGAATTTATGAGTTTATAAAACAGAATTGAAAGTAATTTAATCTGCTTTAAATCTGCCTTAGCGTTTAAAATGATCTTAATCTTTTTTGCAAAAATAAAAATTTTCAAAAATTCAAACGAAGTAATAGTTATTTGTCCATTTTTTAATCTGTTGCTTTTCTATTCTTATCGTAATAAGTAAATGGGGATTTCAAATTTTTAATTAGTTTGTTTTTAAATTCATATTATCACACAATGATTGTATTATTTAAAAAAAAATTTTTTTATTAATAACAATGCAAGAAATAGATATTCTAAAAAACTTTTTATTTATTATTATATGTGATTACAAAATGTTCTGTGACTGTTTTGCATTTTTTTGGACATCCAGCATTCTATGAATCATTTCTATCGTTTTTATGTTATATTATTATGTGTTATTTATGTTATAACTGTATTACTGTTATAGCACAGACTTTATTGCCATTCGATTATAATCGAAAATTTTCTCAAAAAATTTCTTTTTTATATCCCTCAATATTATAATATAAAATAAAACACAAGAAATAATTTCTTGAAATGGTATTTTCATTTGTTTTCAAAGAAACTCTTTTTGCGGGTAAAAACTGTGTAATATAATATATCTGATTTATTGTTCTTGTACTCTTCGACATATTTAAAACTGTTTTAATTGTTAATATTGTGATGATTTATATTATGAGACGTCTATGTTCTACGTACGTCAATTATTTATTAATCGTTGATCTTCTGTCTAGTTCAAAATGCCTAGTTTAAAGTTCGCCTTATTACGCCAATACCGTTTTCACATTAATAATTAGTACCTGGCTGTTTATAACTTAATATTGTAACTAGTTAAATTGCATCCGTATTTAGTTAGTTGTGCGAATTTAGTCTGTATTAAGAAAGTACTATTACCAACTTTGTCGTTTATCAACAAAATTATTTATGCCTCAGTATCAAAATGATTTAAAAATTCTTTTTCTAGTTTTAGTGCATATTTATTATTTAGTTATGTATACAGACTATATATATGTGTATAGCTTAAAGTTTTACAGCGAAGACGCGGTATCTCCGTATTTAAGTCAACAGCAATTAAATAAACGTTCTTGTAGCGTATATAATATTTTAATTTCAATAAAAATTAATTTATTAATGAAAATTTTTTATATTTTGGTATCTGAAATATTAAATAAAATATATGATTTTATAAAATTCAATAAAATGTAATGGCTCTCAGTTAAATTATCGCAAAATTGGATGGATTAGTTTCACGCGAAGTCAAGACCGTTTAACAGTAGCTATTTAGAATATTTAAAATTAAATCATACGATTATTTATCAGTTTATACATGTGTACATGACGTATATTTAGTATCGCTATTAAAAATTATTCATATTATATTAGTTATTTCAATACTGAAAATAAAAGAACGGTTATACTTATATCTACCGGTAGTTAGTACGAAATATAAAAGTAGAACAACTTTTAATATGGCTGTATGTTAATTTGTGCACTATCAATGATAAGATTAAGTGATGTAATTACTAGAATTATATAAAATATATATTGCATTTATTGAATTAACTGTGATATCAACTCTCAAATACTATTTTAAATGATAGGATTCTTTTTTAAATTACATTGCATGATGATGGCTATGTTAAAGTTTTTTTAAGTATTCTTTTTAGCTGGTAGTTCATTCGAACGAACCTTTTACATCCATACTGTTGTTAACAATCAGAGTAATAGGTGTAGCCGTTTAAATCGAATAACTTGTAAATACATTATATATTAAAATTAAATTTTTAATTTTAAAATAATTAATATTTCCATTTTTTATAATAAAAAACTTGAAATAATTTTTAATAATTTAATATTTTAATTAATAGCAGCAGATTAAAAAAGTTAAACGTACCTAATTAAGACACTCGTTATTAAGTTATATAATTAAAAACAACGTTAATTATTTTAATTACTGTTATAGTTTTAATTCGCAACAATTTTTAATAGATATTTTTAATCTATAATACAATTTATATATACTTTCATGAAAATCCAACACGGCCAACGTGACTGCATCTGCCCACGGAGATCGCTTCTGCATTCCAATTCCATAACCTGACCTACCAAAAAGTTCACCAGCTGTTACTAATTCACAATCTTGAGCTGCTTCAAATTCTAATCTGGAACTGTCCCATATGAAAGCCATTAATTTTCTGAAAACAATTTTTTAATACATTTTATTTTTTTAATAAATAATTTATTAATTATTGTTTCATTAATTCTTTAATATTAAGAGAATATATATACAAAAAAATAAATTCCTTAATTTTGATTATTGAAGCATTGGCAATAAGTGTTGGTTAAAAAATATTAAATTATTTATTAGGAACGTCATTCTGATATTTACGATATAGAATAAAATATTTTTTTTTCATCTGTCTAATATATCATTAGAGGCAGTTTAATATTAATAATTAGTAAAATCAGAAAACTAAAAGAAGTTTATTTGCATTGAATTTCATAATGAATTGAATAGAATAATAACCAAATACAGTATACATGAAATTGTTAATTATCATATATACATTTTTATCTAGTAGACAAAATTTTAAGATATATGAATATTAAAGAGCTTATAAGTCACTTAATGATAGCATTTTGTTAGTTTTTTTCATGATAACAGAAAAATAATTAAAGGTTGTGAATATAAATAATTGAATGTAATAAAAAAGTAATTTATAACAATAAATTTCAACCTATAATAGTAAATCATAGATAAAAAATTTGTAGAAACAAAAATAGAAAGATTAAAATTTAAGAAGTAACCAATAAAATTATGTGTACACAATGTATTCGACGTTCCGGCTTGTTTTACCAAGACCGGTTCGAAAATTGATGCCGTTGACAACTCGGAGACAACGGGTGTAGTATGATAGCGATGAAAGGTCACATGTGGAAGGGATATCATAATAATACAATATAAATATGGCTGATGTATGCTGCTTATTCTGTTATTTATTTGACGACAAGGTTTGTATAGTATTACTATTATTAATTATTGAAATAACTCTTGGGGTGGATTAATGTGTTTGCAGTGGTAAACGTATACTCATCTACGCAGCGTGATGGTTTGAATATGAGCACAAAATAGCGCGAAGTTTGATTCGTCGACACTCGCGCTATTTGGATGAGCACGTGCGTAATTGAGGTTATAGTTGTTATGTAGCGCGACACATGTAACTGTTGTTACTTCATAGATATGCTCGTATCGTAGCAAGCATACCTTGTCCTGATATTGGCGTACTGCAATAAATTAAGATGGAAGTAAGAGTTTGAAGGGCTTTTACCTCATGAAGGATACTGCTACTTGTTGTGTCTTCTGCGAGAGTTGAAGGGCACGCTGTGGATTCATAAGCGTCAGAATTTGAACTAAGGTGAGGGTAAGGCCGGCAAGTCTCGCATCAGTTGATTGGAATTATTCCGCACTGTCTCTCTGGTGAGAGCCTTTTCTTCTTTGGTTCTGCTTGTCGATGACGTATTCTGAATCTTAAGTTTTAGTTGATTATTCAAGCGGTGATACTACTTACGAAGACTAATTGTCGACTTGTCTTCGGACTCCAATAGGTGGATATGTCTTCGATCCTTTTGAACTTGTAACGACTGTTTCTTGAATTGCGTTAATGGACTTACGGGCATATGTTGTCGTTCTTCTAGAACGTGTAACGACTGTTGCCTTGAACTGCGTTAATGGACTTCCACTTGACACTTATTTGAATAAGGACTTTATCGAGAGTGTTTGAATATTGAAAAATGCGCCCCTTAAATACATTTGCTGACCATGAACTTCACTTGAACCCCTTCCCTTATTTTTCGTCCAATCAGAGACTCCTCCCTTACAGTTGAGAGCAGCGCCTCTTGTGGCTTCTTAGTTAATTAAGGGCGTAGTCGTCTCTTCGTCTGCATGACAAGAAGAGCTCTCGTTTCCGCTAACGCATCTGGCGACAGCATGACAACTTGTTGACAGCGGGAAGGTGGTGGGGCCCGCTAGTACATATTGCTTGAACTAGTTACCGAACGGAGCGAATGAATATGAATATGAAGTTATTTTATTATATACGTCCTTCAAATAATGATACATTTAATAAATGAAATGACGTATCATAATTTAATTTCTAAATATCAACCAAGCACAGATAAGTCTTGGACAGTATATATTTAATTCTTTCAGTATGTATTAGATAATTTTTATGACATCACTTGCATTAAATTTAGAGTATCTATAGGTTAAATTGTCAGAAAAAGTAAATACCTACCGAAGATATTAATATCACGCCCATATGAGCCGACACCATCTAATTTGATTACAATAAAATAACTATATATAATTTGTATTATTCTGTATATGAAATTCCTTGGGAAATGATTTTATTAAAAATAATAAATAGTATTGAATTGGTGGAAAATATTAGAGCAGTAACAATAATCCTATGTAATCGATTGATGAAAAAGTACTTGCAATGAAGATTTCATTTTCTTTTTAATGATTTTATTTTGTTTTTATTGAAAAGCACTTATTTATTCCAACATTTTATTTGTAAGCAACGTTCAACTATGTATATCTATATTTTTCCAAATATTACTCTCTGCTACCATAATAAATTGATAAATATTATAATTATCAAAAGATTTGGCCAGTTAAATCACAAATATGAAATTACTAATCAAAAACAAATAATTAATATTGTTAAAGTAATTATTTTACACACTGATGTAAATTGATTTTTAATATTTTTATTATCTTGTTATCCATTATTTTTGAAAAAAATTTGATGTATATCATATCGAACACAATATTTACTTATATATAGGATTTTATTAATGAATGGTAGAGTATTATATAATCGTTAAAAAATTTATTTAGAAAAAATTTTGGTTCGCTGCAAAAATATTTTTTTATTATTAAGTTGATTTGAAATTTGGTTATTTCATTTGATAATATTCAAAAAATATATATATAAAAGATTTTCATTACAAGTGCTCAAGTAACCAAATAGATAAAATGGCCAGTTTTATGTAAATTTACAGTAATTTTCCGTGGTACTATAACATTCAAGTATTTAAATTTGCTAGATAATTTTAATAATTTGATGATTAATATTGTGATATAAAATATCTCATTATCCATTACGAATTTAAAAACATTAATAAACAAAATTTAAATTTAAAGTTGCTCATCAGTTTTAATATAAATTATAATATATCATAAATATAATCAATTAATAAATTTCGCTTATTTGTTATCTACTAATATTAAAGTAAAAATATTTAAATATTTTGACACTTTTCGATCCAAAACTGTTATATAACTTTTTTTTTTTAATTTAAATAATGTACTGTTTCTTTATATGTAAAAGTAAAAAATGTAATATATATTAATTTTATCTTTTGCTATAAAAATTATAATTTGAACATCTAAATAAAATATGAAATTATAATAAAATTTTCAAAAATATTTGAAATTACATTTTTAACTTACCCTATTTTAACATCTCGAATAGCTTCTTCCGCAGTATTATAATTATTTGCTTCCATTGTTCGATACATATTTGATAATTCTACTTGTCTTCGAAAATACATATCTACAGCAGATCCTCTTACGGTAGCACACGTTAGATTTTCCATTGTATTTCTTAACTATGTGTATAAATATTAAAATAAATAAAGAATTTGTGAAATCTCATATAATTTCAATTAAATTGAATTATAGTAAAAATTAATTTTTTTAATAGTAGAAATTGTACATCTACCATTCAATCCCTTCTATTGCACATGATTAACAAATTCATTGACTTTACTGGAAATTCATAAAGTAGCCTAGATTGTTCTTATATTTATACCGAAAATTAATAAACTATTTTATCATTTATCTCAATTTATTTTTAACTAGTTAATTCATCTGTTAATTATATATAATAAATTGTTTAGAATTAGACTAAGACCAGCAGTAGCCTGGTGGGAGAAAAAGTGCGAGCAAGTGGAAAAGGTAGAGCATTAATTCAATATTTAACACATCTGCTTTTCGTGCTGTTTATTGCGTTTTACTTTACAAACTATACTATAATGATTCTATGTTAGTGTTGAGAATCGTTGTAGCGATTGGTGTTATCATGCATTACATGTAGAAATAGGAGATCGTAAATCTCCAGATTCTCTTGACGTAGTACGCTTGGTGGTAAATTATTACACTGAGAAGTAAGAGGTCGTAAATCTCTTGACACTTCTTTATATAGTGCTCGTTGGCACTGGATCCTTGAAATCAATTCTGGTCAGTAATAGGTGGCTATGGCCTCTAGCATTGGAAGTACCCGTTGGCAAAGGATTCTTGAAGTCTACTCAGAGAAACGTGGCTATGGCACCTTGAGCTGCTATGTGGTGGCACGAAGCATTTAACTGCCGACTCTGTCGAGGAAACTTCTTTCTTCTTTCTTCTTGACGACTCCAACTGGAGTTAGTGAGTGAATAAGGTCTTCTCCAATCGGAGTCTTCTGGCGGCAGCATCTCTACTTAGAGCGCCTTTGGAGCGCCTCGGCTGCAGCATCTCTAGTTGGAACGCCTCAAGCAGCTGCGTCTTTACTTAGAGAGAGTAGTTTTCTCGTGGCTTTCCCGCCAAGAGAAACCCCTGACTCAAGCGCCCTTGCTTGGCTTATCCAAGTGACAATATGGCTAGACTTGACAACAGTGGATGCGATTGTGTACCGTTAGATTTTTAATTTTTGGTGTAACAACTATTTTCAGATGTCTAATGAGTTGGGTTTTCCAGAAACCTAATGACTTGTTTTCTCGAAATTTCGAACATAAATCATTGTGTTACTTTTTGATAAATAAAATCTATATTTAATATGGCCTATGATTTTTTTAGTTTCATATAGCTGATGTACTATAGTAAAGACTTTTTTCTATAAATTCTATAAACTTCTTATAGAAAATTTGTGGGCATTATAAAGAATTTAACTCTCACTTTGTTTCATCATATTTTTAACACATTAGATTTATAATACTAGATGATTATTACGATATAAAGTGCATTGCAGATTAATAAGCGTACAAATTTTCTATACTTAATCATTAAAGTTAATAATAGATTTGAGCAATTTTATTTTACTTTTTATTTGCATAGCTTTTTATGTTCATTACAGAAATTAATAGCTGTAAATTTTTGTTAATATATTCTGTAAGCTAAAAAAAGTATTATAGATATTTATAGTATTCAATGGGCTCGCCGTATATAGTTTTTATATAGATGTTATAAAAAATGGTTATATAGGCTTGTTCGGAATTGATGCAGTCCCATGAATTTCAAACAAAAGAACGGTCATACGCGCGGTCCGGCGTACCGCATGTGCGCCTAGACTGACCGCGCGTGCAGCAAGGCTGACCATCACGTGCGCCCAGGCTGATCCGCACGTGCGGACTGAGGCGGGGACTCGAGCAAAATGTTTACAAACAAAACTCGGCAAGTCCGAGCAAGTTTACGATTTGAAATATAATTTACTACCAGCACTCACAAACAAGGGACGCCTTCGAAACTTCTAGAAACTTCGTTTTCTCATACCAAAGGAAAATTTCTGGAAGGGACGCGCATCGACACTGTTGCCGGCGCTGAAGACGCCGCATGCACATTTAAACGCAACGCGCCATGAGGCGACGCTCATTCGTAAAATCACTTTGCTCTCACTCAAGCGTAACTGCCGGTCAGTGCATAGTATACTGTAAAGACGCCGCGTGGCCATATTTTGTGCATAGTATACTGTAAAGACGCCGCGTGGCCATATTTTCGGCAGCATAGTAAAGAGTACCCGCGTGCATAGAAAAGGTAATCGGCAGTTTTAATTAGTGATTACAGTGAATCCAATGGAATAGTAATCAAGGGGGACATTAACTACACAGCATCTAATACACCCAGTCTGCAGTTCACCAGGTACACCCTTTTATTAATAAAATAAACAAGTCACATCTCACGCTATAGTCGATCGGGCACACTTAAACTAATCCTCGACATCGTACAGGCCCGCTAGCATACTTACAGGGCACACTTACGCTCTCTCGAACTAACGCTCGACATCGTACAGGCCCTGAACAGCTGACTCAAGAATCACTGTGGTTCACGCACATTGGTCACAAAAGAACAACACAGATCGACTAATAGACTATAAATACACATTGTTAAATCCTTCACGAATTATAAATCTTACCATGAATTGTTTTTACCTGTGACTAGATTCTTCTGCTGTCCCCTTACATAATTAAAGACACAATTGATTACATAATAAATTCCATTAAACATCTGACACCACATCGAGTATAACTATTCATCCATCAAGCATACTTGATTCTACACCATCATCCCATGCTACCTCACAAGCATGATTGACTGACGACATCAGCTGACATTGACAACATCAGCATAACCTCAAAGCAACACAGTTATATTCATAGAAACCTTCATAGTATAAGAATTACAAGAACACATCATTAGATAATCCAACAGAATTATTTATCTCTACACAATAGTGCAATATTATTATAATTGTTTTATAATCATTAACCTTGTTTTAATAAATATATTATATTTTTCAGCCTTATCTGTTATTGTTTTCCTTTAAAATTATCCTGCCGAGAGACTAATCCACTGAACTATTGAATTGGCAGTTCGAGTCATAAACTAACCCTTTAAAATCGAACAAGGCTTGTTCGAGAATGAAAAGAAAATCTCTCGAATTATATTTACTAGAAAAACTTTCAACAGCTGATAAAAGAGAATTATCGAATGGATACAATAAACTAAGAAAGTCTTGCGAAGGTTGCATGAGACTCGAAAAGGTTTGTACATCTGTGAACTCGTAAACAGCCATTTATGGCCTTTTGACCTGCAGACGTAGTAATTGTATTGAATGCAATAAACGGCCGTTGCGAGTTCACATCAAAACCCGACTAGATTGTTTTATATGAGTATATTTTGAGGATTAATATATTTTTAAACCATTGAATGAAAAACATTTCTTAAAATCCGTTGCAACCCGAAACTCGGCACGCGCGACGCTCGACAATCTGCGTCGCACGTGTGCCTTCAATGCCACGAGAGCATACGCATGCATTGTTGTCAAGTACGACAAATGTTGCTGCTTGCATAGGCCAAGCAAAGACGCTTGACCAAAAGTCACCTCCACCACGATGAGTCCCGGAGAGGGGTAAATCTTCCACTTCACGCATTGCCGCCAGAGATACTCCTTCGATATTTTCATTGTCTAAGCCTAATTTCTTATGAAGTGGGAAAAGGGCGTGCACATTCACCATGCCGCCGAAAAGCAGCGCGCCCTGATTGGAAAACTAAGACCAGATGCTCCTTGAGTGGGGACTCATGACAAGAGGCCTTAAAGATGGGAACAACGCAGAAAAAGTCGCTATCCGCGGGGGACAATTGAAACACGCTGTCCGCGTGGGCAGCCAAGGGCTGTGGACAGTCAAGTACTGTCCGCAGGGACAAGTCAAGAAAGGGCTCGAGTGGGCAGTCTAGGGCTATCTTAAGAAAAGTCAAGTAATAGAAATTAATTGTCCATGGAAGCCAAGTCTAAAATTCACTCAACGCAGAAATAAGTGTTAGTAATTCAGAACAAGACTACTGCATCCTGGTGAGTATAAGAGTCACGTCGCACGCACTAGGTTTGCCTCACGCAATTTTGTCCAACTCACCGCCGGATCAGATCAAGACTATTGCATCCTTGTGAGTATAAGAGTCACGCCGCACGTAATTGCTTTACCGCGTGCAATTGTATCCAAGTCACCGCTGGATCTGATTTAAACTACGACATCGATATGAGTACGTTAATACACTTTATTTTTTCAATTATTGTCAGCTGGCGGCAGAACCGGCATAAGATAACCATCAACATTATCTCACACTCTCTGACAAGAAGTGTGTAGTAATTATTTACCTGTGCAATTTTCATCAATTCAATGATTTAAAAGCATCTTGTGTAGTGGTTCATCCTATATAAGAAGCCGTTCGAGAAGTCGTATCTTCATATAAGATTTAAGAAGATTCTACAACACCCATATGTAAATTGTGTAATAAATTGTATAATAAATATATAATTAACCAACTCTCATGACTCTTGTACAGCCCCTACATCTCACTCCTTCCCGAGCGTCTGATAAGCATTGGCAGTTCGAGCCAAGAATTACATCACTATAACTTTCGAACAAAGCTTATCAGCTTTCTAATTTGTTTGAGTCGTATGTTAAACTTTAGAATTTTAAAGCTTCTCTCAAATTATTTCTTTTATCATAAATCTGTTTCCTTTCTATCGATTTATTTATTTTTATTTGTTCTTAGAAATAATCGAAATTCATTAGAACATTTTTATTTTTCTTTAACGCTTTACATATTTGTTTTGTTTTTATCTATTAAATTTTTTATATAAATAGCTTTTGTGCTGTAATTATATGGATTTTCGTTTTCAGAATTATATTTAATTTCTATATTATTAAATGTTATCAGTGCCATTTTTAATATTTTCATCTATACAATATACAAGTTAGTCAAACACTTTTTGATTAATATTTTCTATTTCTTACATTTTTTATTAGTTCCCAGATAATATTCAGAAATTAAAGGTTTTTCAATTTGGATATAATTTCGGTTCCATTCTTTAAAATATTTTTAAATACTTTCGAAGGCAAGCCGTTTTACTCTAACCCTTCGAAGTGAGAGTAATTATTAAGAGTAGCTTAGAATTTTGCAATATAAGAATATATGGATTTATTAATAACATTTATTTTCTTTTTTATTCCTCATGGAAACTTTCCAACCAATCTTAATGTGATGAAATTACTTAAAATTTGGAACATTTTGAAAATCTAAAGAAATATACTAAAAATATATGGTTTATAGCTTTTGTACATACTTATACAGATATTTATATTCTTTTTTATTAATTTGATTTATGCTTTAAATAAAATAAATCATATATATGTTAAGTTACATTTTCTTTTAGGGATATACATAAACATACATATATAATGTTCCAAGAAATACTATTTTGTTATAAATTTCTTAGTTTTATACAAATATTTACGTATTTACAATTGTATTTTTTAATTATATAATTTACTTTATTCAATTTAAAATTAATAAGAATGTTTATATGGTTTTCGCATAATAATGTTGTTTGAAATTCTCCAAATTTCTTACGCCTTGTTTTTTATTAGAATTCTCGAAATTTCTAGAGTTTTCTTTCTGCGCCTCATATAAGATTCCAGTGCAGCAACAACAAGGCAAGCACGCGGCAAGCCTCGTTCTCTTGCAGTAAGCCGACCACAGTGAACCCTCTGCGTGAAGAAGCCATGGCACGGGTCTCGGTCTGCTTCCGTGCGCGTATTCAACAGGCTTATAGGCTCATTGTGTATAAGTCATACAACTGCGCTATTCAGCCATTGCCTTTTGCCTTGTACCAGTCGCTCAGCTATATTTAACAATGAAGCCATCAAAGGAATACACGTTCAATCGTTAAGTGCGATACACTTACAAACAGTCAAGGGTGCTGACTGCATTACGAGAAACTACACTGCTATAACAAGCAGAGACCAAAGCCATCCTCATTGTATATATCTGAGGTCACACGTTTTAGATAGGTGTGTGCATATATACCCTTCAAGCCCACACATCCTACTCAGGAGTGTGAGCATACCTCTGCTAGTCCTTACAACACTAGCAGAGGCCACGATATCGTCACGATCAAGGAGAAAACTCATCATTGAGACAGAGTTTACACTCTTCTATAAGACGTGAATTCTGCTTATTATTAATGTATTTGTTAATAAAGCATATGTTAACGAATTTTTCACATACTACACATTTCTACGACTTTATCCATTGACTCCCATCTAAATTATTAAAGCTATCTAAACACTGGCAGTTCGAGCCAGGAAATAACACCATTTTCGAACAAAATATTAATTTTAAAAATATTTTAAGACATCTAATTTATTATAAAATATTATTAAATTTTAAATACTTACCCTTGCATCATTTATACCGGTTAGTTTAGTTTTTGGTCTTTCTAATACAAGAAAAGCAGCTAAATTAGCTGTATACGATGCAACAATAATCATTGCAAATCCAGCCCATACCATCCCTAAAACTCGAGCAGAAAAACTTCGAGGTGTACCTGATTGATATATTATAAATAACATTTGTTAAAGGATTGCTGTATTTATTTAATTATTATTAATTTTAAAAATATGCATAATATATATTAAATCAATGAGAATTTATATATTTTTATATTATAAATATATATTTTAAAAATGGAAAAAATTGTATAAAAATTAAATAAAAAAAAATTATAATCAATATTTTTACAACTTTCAAACTCTTCTAATAACAACAAAATATTTGCAGTATAATGTATTGACTAAATGATATATTTTACATTAAAAATGTTTAAATTATTAAATTTTATACGCTTGTTGTTAAGCAGTTAATTAATTTAATGTTAGACAGAGTTTTCTAAGACACTATTTTCATACTAGTGTCTTATTTTTTTCTTTGCTTTATTTTATAATTTTTCCTTTGAATCATAATCAATCTCCTAACTATATTTTAATTAAAAACTTTTTTTAAAATTTATTTTAATAATCATTATTTAATTTAAACCATTAAATCATTCTTTTTCACCTTTAATTTTATTTTTAATCTTCAATAAAGCTTTTTTGAGTTTTTTAACGAAGAGTCATAAATTTGAATTTATAGTTTAACATTCTTCGTAACTTTCTTTGTTGACTCTTAGGATTAATATTATATATATATATATATATATATATATATATATAACGTATAAAATACCTTCTCCTATTCCACTGTTGAGTAAAACTCCCCATGCAAACCAAATTGCACTTGACAGATTAAGAGCATCTTCTTCAGTGCCATCTGCATTTGAAAGTTTAAATCTACCGAATGGTGAAAAACGATCTAATAAATATAAAACTAGAGCAACAACATGTACAGATACCATAACTAAAATCCATAATGTATTACTGAATGGTTGTAAAAAAGACACCAACGTTGAAGATCGGGAAGGCTGAAATTATAATTTAAGAAAAGTTAATTTATGTCAATTTAATAACATTTTTTTATTGTAATTTAAATAATTCTTTTTATATAAAATAATACTGTAGATGCCTGTTCAACTTTAAGGATTTATTTTATGGCTCGAACTGCCAATTCGATAGTTGAGTGGATTAGTCTTTCGTCATGATAACTTGAGGGAAATAATAAGTGGAAGGAATGAAAAATATTATGTACAACAATGTTTATTATTTATTAATAATTATAATAATATTGCACTGTTCTTGAGAGAATAAGATTATTCTATTGTAGTAATGAGGGTGTTTCCTTGTGTTCTTGATTATTGTAGATTCTATGGATATTACTGTGTATCTTGAAAATTGAGGTTATGCTGATGTAAACATTAGCCTGTGTAGTCAATCATGCTCATGAGGTAGCATAAGAAGATGGTGTTTGAATCAAGTATGCTTGATAGATGGAATGTTTTGATGGAAATTGGTGTGTAATCAATTATGTCTTTAGTTATAATGGGAACAGTAGAAAAGGACTAGTCACGTGCGACTAGTACAGGACTAGTCATGAATGACAAGCCTTCGAACTTTGAAGGGCTTGATGAAGATGTATTTATAGTCGATTATTTGATAAATTATTGTCTGGCCTTGACAACGTAATTGACGTATTGCGTCACCTGTGTCGACTGTTTGAGGGGCTGTACGGTGTTCGAAGTGTTAGTTCGAGAGAGCGTACTGTTTGCTCGTGTGTGACTAGCTTAATTGATAATATAAAGAGATGTACCTTGTAAACTGCCGACAAGGTGTGTTGATTTACTGCGTAGCTGATGTGTCCCCTTTGATTACGATTCCAACAGACTTCACTGTAAATCACTACCTAATCTTGCTGATTTCCTTTTGATAATCCACGTGTAATTTTAAATTGGTTGCCGAATATGCGGCCACGTGTCGTCGTCACAATATATTAAAACACTGAGTAATAATAACAGTTGAGTGAATGCGAGGTAGAATTACAATGAGCGTCGCCGCATGGCAAGCTGCCCTTAAATATACATGCAGCAGGATGCAACGCCGGCAAAAGTGTCGCTGCTTATCACTATACCGAAAACTTCATTGTGACGTTATAAATGAAGCTTCTAGAAGATTCGTAGGCGTTCCTTTGAGTGATCTTATAATATATTGGATTTCATCTCGTTAAACTTGCTCGGACTTGTCGAGTTGTGTTTATAAACAATCGCCCGAGCACGCGTGCCGGTCCGAGCGCGCAATTGCGTCAAATTGCGTCAAACCCGAACACTGCCCAAAGTCGAACTCTGATTGGATACAAAAAAGAAGAAGGGAACGCTAGTGGAACCGGATCAGTGAATTATTTAAGCAGGATAAATGTGATGTACCGACATTTATTTTCACGGAGGAACAGAGAAAATTCGATCAGCTGAGTCTTGTAAAATATCTTTCTACTTCTGTGGTTCAATATCCAGTTACATTTAGTCTCGTCAAGCATATACTGCCCAAGGAGTGAGATTATTGTCATCTCAATAAAGAGATACAAAAGAAAGTTCAAGTGCAAGCAGTTCCTGCATGGAAGCTTCGCATCAAGCTTGTGAGAAGAAACAGAAAATTTTACACTACAACTTCCAAGTAAATCTTACCTCTAGTGTTTAATTCTTCACTTTAGGGCCTACTCATTTCCAAACCGCAAGCAGTTCGTGTCCAGAATTTCTTGCGCATGCTCACTTCGTAAGACCAGCAATTCGCGCCATTCAGTGGTGCGCATTCCTGTAACTTGTATCTCAGGCTCGTGTTCACTCACACGGCTCACTATTTAGAGGCAACGTACCAAGATCACAACGCAATATCTCTTTCCAGAGTAAATCACTATCTCACCCGTTACGCCCAGAAGATAAGGAATTTTATCACCCTCTAGTTCTCTAATAGAAATATACTACAACGCCACATCATTATTCAGAAACATAAAGGTCATTTATCACTTCGTCAAGATTAATAATCCCTAAATTGGAAGTAAATTGAAAAGTAAATGGAATAAGCAGCAATAAGAATTATATGTGTTAATTATTAAATCAGTGCATTAACCCCTCCACTTGCCCACGGATTCTCCCATACAACATCTAGTGGTTTTTCTTAGTTAATTCTATACATTTGGTTCTTCGAGCCGGATTAGTAAAATTAATTTTAAACACAACAAAATAACATCGGATGTAGTTGCTCGAAGTCAAGGGTAGAACTGGATATAACAATAGCTAATGATTTAGACTATTTGTAATTTGTGGAATTAATGGAATTAACAGAAATGTGAAAATTAATGTCCATAATTTTACCAAAACTTCATCGATGCGGTTTTAAAATCGAAACTTGCAATTTTTTTATGAATGCTTTATAAAAGTTTATATATATGTAAGATAATCATTTGTACAAAATTATTGATTGTACAGCGATAATAATATTCTACTTTCTTTTTTCAAAATTTTCTATTACTCGTTTATTCTTATGATAATTTTTCATATTATTATTGTAAATGTTTATGTTACGGATTAGAGCAACATCGAAGATTTTGAAAAGAGGGAGAAGTACAGGCGTCGGACGCTTATGTTTGTAAACATTGATTCTGCGAATGCTTCAATGTTTACGCCTTATTGTCTATCGCTCTACAATATTTCCGCATAGCAACGAGGATTGTCAATTCTCGAATTTTCCAAGGCAGTGTCCGTCCTTCTAAATTTCACGAATATTCTGTATTAATATTATGTAGCTTCGTTCTGATGTCATCAAGACTTCTGTCTAATACAAACTCTGTTTAATTTTTGATATTATCACTTAATATAATCAACGAAAAGATTTTTCATGTTGTATTATAATATATAGTATCATAATGTATTATATTTTATTATAATCTTCAAAGATTTTAATAATTATATTAATTTTCATATTTTAAATATTATGAGTCAATTTTTATTTATGAGTTATTTAACATAACTAAAAGGGTTAAATATAAATCTTTATAGAAGATAAAATTGTAATAGTCGTTTGTTTTTAACTCGTTAGTTTTATAGTATTTATTAAATAAATATATATATACGTTATCATTTAAAAAGAGATATGCATTTTATATGAGTACGTTTCAATTACTTTTTTCTTTTTTTTCAGGCGGAGATATTAATAAGTATTATATTTTGTATATAATGCTATTTCTGTTTATAAAATGTGTAATGATCAAAAATTAGTATTAATATAATTATTTAAACAATTGTTTTAATATATTATAAAGACCATTAAAATTTACACTCACCTTTTTTTCAAGAATTGTTATACCTTGATATTTAAATGGTTTACTAAATTCGATAAACTCTGCGCGTTCTGGATTTATAGTTAATGGAGCAACTATCATATCTGCCCGTTCATAAACAATTTCTCCAATAAGACCATTCCATTCTTTTCTATTGGTATCTTAGCAAGAAAAATATTATTATATCTTGATATTTATTCTACTTACTTGAGGTTTATTTTCGTAATAAATTTATTTTAAATGTTATTTATCCAAATTATGAAAAAATTATGCTATAGTCTTATCTTAATTTAATTTAAATTGAATTTTTCATAAATTTCAAAATTACATTATTTTTATTTTTACTAATATGATAAACTAAATTAGAAGAAAACTTAATCTGTATATTGTTATTACTTCAAAAATTTATGATTGTAGGAACAAAGAAAAAAAATTATAGAATAACATTATTTAATATCCTAATGTAAACAATAATGCAATACATAAATAAAATAAACTAATGATAAAACATTTTTATTTATAAAGACGTGTAAATCTAAATTTTAAACCAATTTACAGGAATGAATAGAAATAAAAGATCGTGTATTAAGAGCAGAATCTAATATTATTGGTGAGAAGTTTTAAACTTCTTTGAGACTGTATATTTATAATGACAAAGTAAAAATTTGTATTCGCTAAATAAGTGGATTAATAAAAATGTACATGCTAATACTTCAAATGTATGCTTATAATTTAATAAGTGTTAAGTTAGAAATCTTGTTTTGTTAAATAAATATATAATAGTTATTTCTAAATTATATTTTAATTACTTATTAATAAATTAATAACTATAATATTCTAGTTTAAATTATATAATTAATGTATAGTAATAAAAGGATTTTTATATTTTTAATTATTCTAAATGTAGAATTAGAAGTTAGTCAATAAATGAATGTGTAAATAAATTATCTTATTTTACGATATAAAATTCAATATTATTGTTATCAAATTATTTATTAGCTGCGTAACTTCGGTTGAAATTATTTCTCGATTTATCGACTTATTATTGTATTATTTGAGAATCTCTTGTTAAAATAAAAAACTGTATATGTCTATATAACTACATCTTTTAGTAGTTATAAAATATTAAATAAAAAAAAATTTTTTATTTATTTTTTTATAAATAATTCTTATATTATAAATCAAATATTACAGCTTACAAATTTTTACTTAAATTCCTTTATATATTTTTTATATATTTTTTATTATTAAGGATAAATGTAGAATAATTTTTAATTGAGTAATAAGTAAAATTATTTACTATCTTATTATCTAATAACATTATCATAATTATAAACATATGTAGTATTCTGAGAAAAATTAGATACGCAAATTCGACATATTTGTAAGTGAATAAAATAAAATAGATAAAATTCTACCCTAGATTTTGAGATAATACATTTATTAATTTTATAATATGCTGAATTAACAATAAATAAAATATAAAATGTAGTTATAACTTGAAAAAATATTGGAAATATTTACAAAGTTTGAAATCAACTTATATATAATTTATTATAATATTACATAAATAACAAATAATAAATTTGAAGAATATAATATTGTTTAACTTACTATTACTTTTATAAATATAGCTTCCAAATTGTCCATCTGGAGAAAGTGATAAACTGTATGTGAAATTAATTGTCTTAGCTAATTCTTTTAATAAATCTACGCAATATCCTTTGCAGCAGTTAATCTCTGTGGCAACTGAAATATAGTTTATTTACTATGCAGGTATATATATATATATATATATTTTTTTTTTATATATAATATAGTAAATATATTATAATAAATAATACGATTTTGAAAATCAATGTTTAAAAAGTTTATAAGTAATATAAATATAGAAACAATTATTTCCGTATAATTACAATTAAATCATTAATCACGAATAACGGTAACGAAGAATAAACATCTATCTTGTTTAACTTAGCGATAAAAAATAAACTTAAAAAAATTAGAATATATATTAAACATTTAATGTAGTTTAAAAATATCAGCGTGGAGGAGCGATTTAATAATTAAATATATAATATTATTTGAAATAATAAACTGTAGAAATTCATTTTCTTATACAAAATATAATTAAGTATTTTATCATTTCTATATTATATATTAAAGTTATAAAAATTTATATTGAGAATCCTAAGGAATAATGATAAATATATTTATAATAATAGGTAAGTTTTTTTAATATTGATAATTTTATAGTCCTAGTTTAATTATTTTTGGATTATCTTTTATTATAATTTTTGCTGGAATAAATAAAAAAAAAAGGATGGACATGTAGCATATTTGCAGTGATAGTATCTCTATGGTTTCAAGGTAAGGTTAATAGCTGCAGCATCCATAATGAAAAATAATGCATTGACATACATAGATATTAATATGCTTGCAATGGCATACATTGGTAAACATTTATAAAAATAAATACTGAAAAATTAATCTTATTTTACTAAGGAAGTTTTTATGCAGTTAGACCAGAATATGGATAAATTTTTAATCAATTTTGTTTTTTGTCTCTCTCCATCTCTCCTTATTTTGTATTCGTATATCTGTCTATACACACTATCTTCAATACATAAATTTCTATACCAAAGAAGTTCGTAGAGCTCAGAAAATAAATACACATAGTATTTACTATGTACAATACAAACATTCGGAACCGATTTCTGCCGACGAATTTCTTTTAGTTCTTAATTCATTACTATTATTTATTCTTATTCTTTGTTCTTATTCAGAATTACAAATATTCATTGATTTCTTTATCTATAAAGCTGGAAATATTAACAAAACTTTAATTTTTCTTCCTAATTTACAAACTTTGCTTTTCGAATTGTTGGCGTTGTTTGATCTCATCACAACTCAGAGTTGTCATTTCCCGAGCTTCTATCTCCTCTTTTCAATGCATGATTTATTACTATCGCTTGTATTTTTAGTTATTATATTACCAAAAGGCGCTTCCACAGTTAGAAAATGATTTGGTTTTAAATTAATTCCAATTAAGTCAATAAACTAAGTTAATTGCAAATAAAAGTTTTTATAATATGATTATAAAATAAATATAAATATCCTTATTTTGCTTTGAAAAGATTTTAATGAAAATAAAATATTTTTTTTTACACTCATCAAATAATAAGAATGTTTATTATACAAAAAATTCATTTATAATAACTATATATTTTTCAATTTTAAATGTATTTAGTGAATTATGTTGACTATATTATGACAAATATATGCTAATGTAATACTACTTTTTATGTAAAATTGAGTAAAATAGCACTTACACAAAGTATGCAAAAATTAAATATCAAGTTAGAAATGTAGCATTCTACCAAAGAATCAGAAATTAAATAATACAATAGACCCGCAATTATTTATGTGATAAATAAAAGCAAACAGTGGCGTTTTCTATTATTTTTAGCACGATGAATAATGCAATGCAAGCGATTTAATCTTCTTTACTGATTTTTTTGTCTTCAATATTTAATATTTTATCTCTGTGATATAAATATAAACAATTTTGGAAAACTGTCTTAATTTTTTTTATTTCTCTAAATAATAAATATTTAAAGAATTAATTAAAACAATATAAAATTTTAATGTGTGGATTAATGCATGCCAATTTCATTTTTTTTTAAGTCGTCCAAGATCGGTTTATAAAAAACAATTATTATCATGTATATATTTTTTTCACATAGAAAAAAATTGATACATTATACTCCCATAGTATAAAACTATACCATTAATTTATAAATTATAAAATTGATGAAAAATGAATTTAAAAAGTTTTTGTAATAAATATTGATAGTATTTCAAATAATAATTCTAATACGGTTTTTGTAGTATTTTTATTTAATTTTATTTAATTACAATATTAAGTTTAAGGCATCATTTTCGAAAAATTAATTAAAATTCTTATCACTTACAGTATAATAAATCATAATGAGCAATAAATATAATTATAAAATTCATGATAATAATTTAATTATTTATATTAAAATATTTACATTACCATCATTTTTTATGGATTTACCATAACTTGGACACAGTATTTCATCAGAAAAACATTTATATTCTGCAGATTTTCTTACATAAACGAATGGTTTTTCCTCAACTGTTAGTACCTTTAAGTGCGTTGGAATAAGAAAACCTTCAGGTTTACTTTTTATTTTTCCTGGCCATGTAATAATCGAGTCATTGATAGCTAATTTCATTTTACTAATTTCCTGTAAAATGAGACTTATTATTACACTCTTTGTTAAAATAAAAATTTGTTTAAAAAAATAACACAATTATATTATTTCAAAATATTATTTTACTATTTAAAAATTATTTCTGTGTGTATTAATCGTTAGAGCATGATAATGGATAGATATTAATATATATTTACTGTTTTCTTATTTTTATAATTGATTGAATTTTTAATATATTTAAATTACTATCATTTAGAAATTAAATTTGCTATAACTAAGAATTTTTTTACATTCGTGATTTCGTGTGCAATAAAAAATAGTACAGTATCATTTTTATATGCATTAATATTGCTTCAAAGTAAGCATAATAGCGAATTTGATACACTTAGTATACACACACACACACACACACACACACACACACACACACACACACATATATATATATATATATATATATATATATAGAATAGTATATTATTAAACAATGTTTCTAAAATATGTCTTTTCTTTTATTATATTTTAAGATAGCTGAAGAAAAACATATTTACATTTTTTATTATTCAGACATATATGAATAATCTTAGATTATTTTAAATTATTACAATTTAATTATTTATTATGAGAAATAATCATAATATTTTAAATTACAGTACTATAATATAAATATTTAATTGATAAAAAGTGATTAATCTCTGATAAAAATTTATTAAATCAAAGTAGTGAAGAAAGATTATACGTTAGAATACTGGATAGGGGAAATTATTTTTAACTAGATGGTGCAATCTCATCAATACAATAATTTGGTCGACAAATTTATATTATCTAAATGAATGTTAAGAAGTTGTTAGATAGAAGTTGTTAAAATAAATGTTAGATTTTACATATTAAACATATTTATGTTATATAAAACAATATTATGACTTATAAAAGTAAGTATATAAGAAACTACTTTATTTTTTTAATTTTTAAATATTTAGTTCCATTTGTTTTGAAAAATAAATGGATAAAAAATAATGGATGAATGATCGACAATTCTATTAAAAATTACCATCATAAATAATAATTGATTTAATAAACAATATATATTATATTTATATATTATAATGTTAATTATAGTTTTATATATAATTAAATGAAATAAAACGAATTTAATATTATTTAAATTACATAACATAATTTATGAAAGAGATACATTATACTATTTTATCATGCTTAATACAGATAATTATCATATATATGTATATCCATAATAAATTTTAAATTTATTAAAGTTAATTCTTAAAATTATTCATGAAATTCTAAAAAACTATTAAATACCGATTTATGAATTATAATAATTAATTTTGAGTTGATTTTATTTAAATAGGGATGTGATTTCTTTTTTCATATTAAAGCATTTTCCTTGATCAAATTTATAAAATAAATAAGATTAAAAAATATTTATCATACGGAACTAAAGAAGTAAAGTGAATCAAATATAATTAGTACATGTTTTATATGTAAATTCAAAAAGTCAATTACATAAAAATCACTTTTCATTCGGTACTGTTCTACGTTTTATATTTGTTAAATTTTTATTACTTTTCTGGGAATAAATAAAGAACCTTTATACAATACAGACAGAATGATTAGGATAATGATCGACATTTTTCCTTATGTTATTCCAAAAAATAAAAAGGAGAAGTGCTGCAAATAAATAATTTAAAAAAATATTGTTTTAATTACAAGAAATTTGATAATTGTAGTATTTTTTCTTTCTAAGCTGTTATAGATTGATCTTTCTCATTGTATATGTTATGTACTGGTATTATATTTGATTAGTAATAATTGAACCTCTAATATCAGTAATGTATCTGTTGTACAAATTCGGTCACAACTGAGTAACACTGATATATTAAATCACTGATACTTTAACTCTTCTCACAGATATATAAGACAACAAAGTATAGATATCATTTCTTGTTCAGGTTGACAAATAATTCTGTTTAGTGAAGAAGTCTAAGGTAAAATCTACATAAATAAAAATATTATATTATATATCTAATGAATAAATTTATCTGTATCAATACTTCCTTATCACATATACTGCATTACTGTAAAGATTCATTCAGCTATTCTTCGTATTAAAAAGAAATTTATTCCTTAAAGTTATTTGCAATTGTCCTCTCTTTTTCAAAACATTATTAAATATTGAAATTCAATTGAAATTATATTATATACTGATAGATAACTAAAAAATTTACTGATATATTTACATTTGTTAAATATTTTAAGTTATATATAAGTTATATTTCTTATGTTTACAAGAAATTATTTAAAATTACAAAAAATAGTATTTTATAACAATTTGAATTTCTCGTACCAATAAGTTACCTAGAAGTATGACATCCATACTGTTACAATGAAATATATAAGCTAATTATCTACAAAATTAAATGAAAACTGAAATTCATCTCGAAAAATATTAATTATATAAGAATAGGGTAGTTATAATTTTTATAATTATTCAATCTATTACAAATTATTTGTAGCTCTCTATTTCTTTATTTCTGTATTTGAAATACATGATACAAATAACTTTCATTACCAAGTCATTCTGTAAATACAACGATTTTTAAAGAATATTAGAATACATTAGTTCTCGAAAAAATTATTAAATATGGATAAATAGTTTCCATTTTTAAAATTATTAATGAATTGATTGTCCATCTTTTCCTATTTTTAATAAATTGAGATTTAGAAAAATTATTATAGTAATATCTATATATATATATATATATACCAAATGATATATATAAATAAATACATATATAAATACCAAATTCAAACATTCTTGAATACTAAATTAGATGATTTAATAATTGATAAAATATAAGATTATTTAAATTTTTATAATCTTCGACCGATTCTTCCTTCTTGTCGAATTGATTTATGTAGGTAATTTCTAAAATTGTCTTAAAATAAGTCTGAACTTAGCAAATCTATAATTAGCTTATAAAAAAGCAATAATCGTTATGATTAACAATAAAACTGCTACTAAGATAAAATACTTTTCAAATAATCAATTATTGAACAATTGAAAAAGTTTGTTATGAAATTATAGTCAGCTTGCGGTTTAATATTTTAGTAGAATCGATTAAGCAATTTTTATTCATATCAAAATTACTTTCTATCAGTGATAATTTCATGTTTTTCATATATAATCTCATAATAATTTACAATAAAGATAAATTATACACAAAGAATCACATTACTTCATTAATAAATTAGAAAAATACTATTAAATTAAGAATATTAACTAAAAAAATATTAAAAAAGAGAAAATTATAATAAACATAAATATTTTGGAATTGAAGGTTTTATAAATACCAATTTACGAAGTTGTCATTAATTTTGATATAACTTACTATATTCCAGTGAATAAAATAATTATTACTTGAACATGTATGACTTTTCCATATAGAATATTAATTAAAAATTATTTTAATTATTGTTATTATATTACCATACAATTTACATATAAACTTATTTATCCAAAAAATGAAACAATGTAACATAGAAATATATGAAGTCAAATGTCAAATGTACAACGAATTTGTAGAGTATATTAGTTTATTAAACAATATTATTATTCAAAAAATATTCGCAAATGTATGACATTTTTATAATTTTGTTCAAAGCAATAATGAAATAAAATATGTAATATAAATACAAATCTGTCTACATTTAATTTGTAATAAGAATTTCGATATAATTCCGTTTGTAATTATACTCTCCTTCCTTCTCCATAACTATAAATGAAAATAACTAAATACTTGTAATTGACAATGATTTTATTAAATTTTTTGAAGCAGTTCTAGCATTAGTTACAAATATCCTATATATCCTAATAGCTATTGCAGAATAGTTCATATTAAGATTTAATGATCAAAAGAATATATATACTGACTAGCAAGTAGTTTTGAACAAACTATATAGAATATTTAAAATATTACAAAGAAAAATAATTGGATAAATATGTTTTCTACAATTATTTAATCACAAATGAAATGGATATTTCCATAAATTTTTCTTAAATCTGAAGTTTCTACATAAGTTAAATTCACATATAATTACAATCTTTTCATCTTTACTGACTAATTTAATGTTATTAAATAAATTTTAATTAATTGAACTAATAGTATAAGAAATTTAGAAAAGTTAAGAAAAACAGATTGAATAATAAATGTTTAAATTGAATGGTATTCTTTATTAACCATTAGTAATGTACGTCATATTAATTTCTTTTAACTCTTGATAATATAGATCATAATATATTAATACTTTTAAGCTTGATAATATATTAAATGCCTTTAAATCCTAGAAATTTCATGTGTTTAACATTCCTAATATATATTTATATATATTATATTTATGTTAAAATTAAATTCTTTTAATTGTTTTAATAAAGTAGTATTATTGTCAATATAGCATAGATTATTTCAAGATCATTTATTAATACAATCATGTACAGTAAATTCATAAGTGAATCCATAACTTAAGACCAGAAATCTTTTTCATATATTTAAAATCTCGAGTTAACCTTGACAATAATCTGAAGATTCCCTGTATGTAATTATTTTTTAAGATCCGTATATATAAATGTAATTATGAGATATGATATTGTACAATATATGTATCTCATAAATACAAAATGTTTACTTCTAAAGATGAAAATATATATATCTATATATAATTCTCTATTAATTACAATATTAGTCATTTTTAAGATTCAATAATAATTATTAATTGGAAATAGATGAAGATAATTTACTATAATATAATATAATTTTTATATTTAAATGGATTTATTTTCGATTTCATGTTAACATAAATCTCTTTTTCTTAGAATCATAAAATACAAAGAATAAAATCTTGTTTTTTCTTTTCTAGATTTCCTTACTGCTTCACATTATAGGTAGTTTATAATAATCGGGAGTTTATTAGGCAAGGAAATATTTTTCATAATTAGTAAATGAATACAATACACTTTAGAATTAAAACTATTTATTAATAAAATGCAATTGTGAGATAAATTTATATTTCATTTTGGTTATACATATTTGTATAGACTATAACAATTTATATATATATATATATATATATATATATATATTAAATTAGGATAAGAATTGATATTGAATTATATTAAAGTGTTCGGAATTGAAGCAATTTCCAAGACCGTTGGCTCTCGGAATCGCTAGTCCCTCTAGCTGTCAATTTTGTGTAAACATTTGGGTATGAGACTTATCGAATATTTGTTATGTTTTGGTTTCAAATGCTCTACAATGTTTATATGGTCTTCGCTAGTAATGTCGTTTGAAATTCTCCAAATTTCTTAAATCTTGTTTTTTTTAGTTCTCGGAACTTCTAGAGTATTCGTTTTGGGCTTCATGTAAGATTCCAACGCTACGCTATTCAGCCAGTGCTTTCTGCCATATACCAATAAGTCAGTTACACTCACGCAATGAAGCCTTCCCAAAAAATACACGTTTAATCATCAAGCATACTACAATTTACAAGCAGTCAAGGGTGCTGACTGCATTACGAGAAACTATATGGCTACAAGAAGCATATTCTCAAGGTCATCCTTACAACATTAGCAGAAACCATTCTCATTGTATACGCTTTCACTGTATACACTTTAAGGCCCTATGTCCTATATACGAGTGTGTGCATATTACTGTTAATCGTTGCAATATTAGCAGACGCCACGACATCGTCACCATCAAGAAGCATCAGCATCATTGCGACAAGACAAAGTTTATACTCTTCTATGAGATGTGAATACTGTTTATTACTAATGTAACTATTAATAAACTATATGTTAATGAAGTCTGCACATACTACACATTTCCACAACCCTTCCACTTCTTAAATTACAATTATTACCTTTCCAATTATTAAACAAACATTGGCAGTTCGAGCCTAGAAATCATACCAGTTTTTAACACAAAGAAAATACCTTTTTGGTAGCAACATACGTCCCCAAGTAGCAGTTAAAATTATCAAGCCTATTATCTCAAGATCAAGACCTGCAAGGAAATAATATACATAGAATATTATAAGTTATTGATAACATTTTTTTCATTCTCATATATATTTATAAAATGTAAACTTTCAGCATTCGAAAGTATTTTTGTAGATTCTAACAATACCTATTTTATCTGTATTTAAGAAAATAAAAAAAATTATACTCTGCTTGCTTTTATTACAAATTTCGTTCTATTTATCTATAATTGAATTCTTTTAAATAATTGATTCAATAAAATTTGAGGAATTAATTCTTACCTGTAGTTTTAATGTGAAGGAGAACAAAAAATGATATTTAAATTTAATACTTTTATTTAAATTTTTAAGTTAAAAACGAAAATACTATTGTTCTAATAATACCGAGAGTTATGTCGCCAATACAAGTTCAAAATAGCTTAATATTTACTTAGAATTAAAATTACAGAAAAATCTCGTAAATCAAAATGCTTTAATCGTCATAATATACGTTGTTAAATAATGTAAGAACATAATTATCTTAAATATTGCAGCATAATATATAAATACTCTATACTTACCACATCGTTGTCAACTTGTTATAATAATGTTGATATTGTCAATATTGTTTAAATAACATACGGTGTAGGTGTAAAAAGGTGACTAATGAAATTAGACGAATCCAGCTCAAATTGCGGCACTAACAAAACACCAACTGAGCTTTTTAAACCACAGAATCCATTATTGAACGCAATATAATTTAATTAATAAAAGCCTCTACCAGACTTATTTATAGTAGTAAATTTGAGGAAAACAAAATTATTAAATGGCTGATCATAATATACGGATCTTATTTATGTAAAACATTTTTATCGTATCTTCTTTTTTTCTCACATATACAAATAATTACATAATATAGACCATAATATGTAACAACAATACAATTATTGTTCCTAATACATTCAGATTTAAGTTTCATTAAGTTTTTTTATGTAATTTTAATCTTTATTTTATAATTTCGTAATTTGGATTTTACCTTTTCTGAAAATATATCAAATGATTATTTTATTAAATAAAATAACTATAGCTAGCTTTTTTAGGATAATTAATAAGATTTTTAATTGAAAATAACAAAATCTTTAAAAAGCACCTACATGAATAAAACCTCAATTATAAATTTATCAATATAAATTATATATTTTCTTTTTATATATTTAAATTAAAAATCAATTACAAAATTTTATACCAATTTCGCAATTTAAACTTTTTATTTAAGGCACATTTGCGTATTCATATCTATATATATATATACTTACCGAAGAATAAAAATATCGACCAACAGATTTAATTATATTATTTGATTTAACATTTATTATATCATATTCAGCATACATACGATCTCCATTATCATCAAAAGCTATTCGTCCTGTAGCACCATTATTTATACTTTGCTGCCGAATATATCTATAACAAATTTTAAAAAAAATTAATATTTAAAAATGTAATAATTTTGGATATTACTTTCATTAATTAATCATAAATATTATATATAATTTAATATACTTATTCAAACAGAATTTTCCAAATATATAAGTTCGATAGCTTTATAATAATTTGCCGCCCGCCCTAGTGGATGCTTATAAAGGACTTAAGTGGAAGGGCTTTAGATTAATACAGTGTGCGCTTCTTCGTTAAATATGGTTTATTATGGTTTATATGCAATTACATTATTGATGTGTTGGATTTATGTGATGGAATAGTATATACTATGTTCAATCACGACGATCCAGTTGCGTGGAACTGACCCTGTGATGTATAGTTTACCTACATGAGATGTTACTTGTTGATCGTAATGATTTGTTGCTGATTTTGTAGCCTGGCATTTTCTTGATATAAAGGAGATAGTGTCAATATCTTTATCTTGCAGCATAGGAGAGCTCACGCGTCTTTCTCTTATGGTGGCCTTACTTTAAGAGAGTATGATTGAGTGAATAGCTCCGGAGTAACTAGCTCATAGCTGAATAGCGCGGCTGACTAACGCCTGTCTCGTGGTGTACTTGCTTTAAATATCCACGTGGTAGCTTAGTTAGCTGGCAACAATAGATAGGTATTGCTATGCGGGGACTAGATAAACATTGCAGGACGTTCGCGAATAAAACTTTAGAAGTTTCAAGAATTTAGAAAAGCAAAGCTTTAGAATCTTAGAGAATTCTGAGAAATATAATATTTACAATTTCGAGAACTAAAAGACATAAATTTCCGACGTTCAACAGTCTTCGAAAATGCTTCTATTCCGAACAATATATGAAAGTAATGTGATAAAATGTATTATTTCTACTTCTATCTTTAAACAATTTTATAGTAGAAGAATTATAAAATTGTATACGTAATATCAAAATATATTAAACAATTGGTTTATGATAAATGAAGGATATTTATTATAGAATACAAGTATTAATATTTTTGCTATAATAAGTATTTTATGGCAGTAAAAAAACTTTATTAAGTCTATATAAATAGGAAATCAGTAGAATGTGTGAATCAGCACAACATACATTTATTCCAAAATAATTGTATTATATATAATCAGCAATATTTAAATAACTTATTGAAATGTTTTACATCCTATGCTTTTTCAATAATATATTTGCATGTTCTTTAAATATAAGAATATAATATTAAACGATAAAAATGAATGAAAGCTTTAAAAATATTATTCCAGAGATAAATAAGATAAGAAGATAAATAACAAGTAAATAAGCAAATGCTGAAACTAAAAAATGATTATAGTATGTTTTTATAGTAACATTAATTAAATAGTCAGACCAGAAATTTTTGAGCTATTTGAGGTGGAAAAATGAAAAATAAATAAAATAAATGTAGGGAGATATGAAACATATCTTTAAAGTCTAAAAATATATACAGTGACATATTTTATAATTATAAAAACTCTGTAAAAAGATAACAAAGAATTAACAAAATAAAATATTATACTCATCCTAACAAACTTCATTCGTTATATTATTAATATTAAATATTGCATTCATCTTGTTTAACTTCTTAAATTTATATGACGTTTTCAATAAAAAATATAAATATATGTTATTGTCCTAATTAATATTTTTAATAAAATTAATATTAAATACAAATTCATTTTCTTAAAGTCAAATAAGCTGTTATACTTAAATCGATGCCATTCTGTAATCATCCTACTTAAAAGAAAACCTGATATATTATTATTAAATTGATAAGCTAATGATTATATACTATTTTTCAATCAATTACTTATATATAAGAAAAATGTAAAAATCTTGATATTAAAAATGTTGATAAACAGTAATGAAAGTAAATGTCCAAAAAAAGGAATGTAAGGAATTAATGGTTATTTTACATACGGACTAAAGTAATAAATACATTCTGATACCATATAATTCAATTTTTTTATTATCTACTTTTTCAATTAACCTAGTTCTTTGCATAATATAAGATTACAAGTTGTACTTGAATATAAAGAGAATTTAATATAAAAATAATAGAATAAACAAAATTTCAATTATATTAATATAATATTAATTTTTTATTATACCTGTTAAATGACTATAGTTAAATTTATTTAGTTAATGGACCTTTCTATCTCTGTTGCGCAACATATTTTTTCAATTTAAATTTTAAAATTTATTAAATTATATATTTATGATAATTCATATTTTACATTCATTTAAATACAAGATTAAGTGTAATAATAATTACTTACTCAAAAAGCTTTTTTCCTGTTTCCCAAATAGAACCGGAATTGTCACAGTCATGAGGTGCTTCTGTTATACTTTCAGTTTCATTCATTTGCCGCAAAGCCGATACTAAAACGTATCTTAAAAATAAAATAATTATGTGGTGATAATTTAATACGTTATTTATAAAGTTAGGTAGATATTTAAAAAAAAATGAAATTATTAATATTAATGAAGCAAATTTAATATTTGACATATTATTGTTTGAAAGAAATATATATTATATTAAATAAGTAAATACGTAAAGAAATAATAAAATTGTACACAAAATTTTTTTATTATTAATAAAAAAAAGAACAAAAATATATAAAATATTAAAAAATTACATAAATTTCAAAATAATTCTCTCTTGCCTTTTCTGAATATAATTTTATCGTCTCATAATTATGATTTATCTATTTATAATTTATATAATTAAATCATATTTAAATATTTAATTATTTAATAAATATATATTGAAAGTTTGCTATAAGTTAAACATTTAATATTCATTATCAAGTTATTTAACATGTTTTTTATTAAAGTTTTCGAAATTTGGATGAAGAAATAATTAGCAATTAATAAAATATTAAATAAAGTTAAAAATTAAATAAAAATATATTGATTATTCGATAGTGGTATTATTTCCTGGCTCGAACTGCCAGTGTTTCGATAGCTTTAATAATTTGCCCCAGGCTCGAGCAGATGCTTAGGTGGGAGTCAAGTGGAAAGGTTGTAGAAATGTGTAGTATGTACAAACTTCATTAACACGTGGTTTATTAACTGATACATTAATAATAAGCAGAATTCACTTCTTATAAAAGAGTGTAAACTCTGTCTTATCTCAATGATGAGTTTTCTCCTTGATAGTGACGATATCGTGGCCTCTGCTAGTGTTGTAAGGACTAGCAGAGGTATGCTCACACTCCTGAGTAGGATGTGTGGGCTTGAAGGGTATATATGCACATACCTATCTAAAACGTGTGACCTCAGATATATACAATGAGGATGGCTTTGGTCTCTGCTTATTATAGCAGTGTAGTTTCTCGTAATGCAGTCAGCACCCTTGACTGCTTGTAAGTGTATCGCACTTAACGATTGAACGTGTATTCCTTTGATGGCTTCATTGTTAAATATAGCTGAGCGACTGGTACAAGGCAAAAGGCAATGGCTGAATAGCGCAGTTGTATGACTTATACACAATGAGCCTATAAGCCTGTTGAATACGCGCACGAAAACTAAAGGCTTGATCGTTGCGTGTCAGTTCTGCTGGGATATACCGAGGGGTCCATGGCGGTCCTGCTGACGCAGACCGAGACCCGTGCCATGGCCTCTACTGGTAGAGGATTAGATCGCTTCACTGTGGTCGGTTCATTGCGGTCGGGTCACGGCAAGATGTTTGCAGTAAGCGCAGTTCAGTAAGATGGAGCTTCAGCAAGAGAATGAGGCACGCCGCGTGCTTGCGTTATATATCCACGCGCGGCTCACTTAGCTGGCAACAAAGCATCGTCGTTGTTGCACTGAATTCTTAGACCATATAAACATTGTAGGACATTTGAAACCAAAACATAACAAGTACACGAAAATTCTCGTCCCAAGTCTTTACAGAAACTTGAGAGCTAGAGAAACTAACAATGCCAATAGTCAACGGTCTTGGAAGTTCCTTCAATCCTGAACATTGATACTTTCTAAATATAGAAAATTTTGCCACTATATGTATTCTTCATGAATTTAAATTATTCATCCTTCCATAATATAAATTATCAAATATAATCAAAATTATATAAACTGCATTAAAATGAATCTCTATTATCTTAACATTTATATATAATTTCTTAATAATGGTTCTTCAGATTTCAAACATTCATTATATCAGTCTGGAAATTAAAGTATCAGATTTCAAAACATTGAAATAGTATTTTGCGTTATATTTTCAATGTGATAAATAAAAGGTTAAAATGTTCTCCTTTTAAAGTACGAAAAACGTAAGACCTTAAATATTCTTTTTAAAAAATATTATATTTTAAAATAATTAGATCAATGTTTCAAATAATACATATATATATTACTTACAAACTATCTTTAATATGGCTTTTCTCATCTGTAGCGTTGATTAATTTTAATCCTAATACACCTTCAGGTATATTTTTAGAGTTTAAAGCTTGTTCTGTAACTAACCATACATATCCAGCTCTTGTCATATTCAGCTCGGCAGCGTTATCAAAAATGATTGCCGCATCTTCTGAACTATTATAAAAATTATATTAAAAAAATTATTTAATGTTAAAAATAAATGTAGTTATACAATAGAATTAAATATTATAGTAATAGTACATAAGTAATATATACAAGAAGTATGATAATTAATTTTACTTCTTTTTAATTATAACATAATGTCAAAGTGTCTAGGTTTTGGGAATTTCCCAAGCAGTATAATTACTGAGAAAACCCCAAACGTTAGAATTTCTGAGAAACCTTCTAGTATTCTGGTTTCTCGGAAACCCCGTAGTATTCTGATTTCTGGGAAACCCCAAGTGTTTTTCTAGCACCACAATCACATCCATTGTTATCAGCACTAATTAGTCTATTGCATGGATATTTAAGGCAAGCACATTTCGACCAAGAGCTCACTTACTTACTGAAAACACCGTAGTGAGCAAGCTCTATTTAAGTAAGGCCACTATAGAAGGAAGACGCGTCAATTCTCCCATGTTGCAAAAATAAAGTTGTTGGCACTATTTCCGTCAAATCAAGAAAAAGCTAGACTACAAAAACATAACAAAACAAACTCGAATTAAGGAGTGGACACAATTTATACTGATCCTCGCAAAATCAGCAATAATTTATCACCATCGATAAAGAGCATTCGCAATGGCGAATCATTCATTACAGTATCAGGTCAAGGCTACTGTATCACTGTGAGTAAACAAAGTCTATGAATAATCATTGCTAATCCTTATAAAATTAAAGGGGCGCTATTATTAACAGATCATAAGACATATTCCCTAACAAGGAGTGTGCATAATCAGTTGCTGATCATTACAAGATCAATAACAACATCATCACCATCATCAAAGAACATCTCCTGTAGATAAATTATTGACCACAGAATCAGTTTGAAGCAACCGCATCGTCGTGATTGAACATAGAGCGGGCGGCCAATTATTACAAAGCTATCGAACACTATTCTATTTATGAATAAACCTTTTTATTTCTACTAATTATAGTTTAGCTCCCAAAGGAATTATTAGTTCTGCTGTACTACAATAATTACTTTAAAATAAATTTTTTACAAATTTAAAAAACTCATAAAAATTGTTTATTAATATAAAAACAATAATACATAAAACTTACGATACACCATCACATACTCATTATTGATAAAAGTCAAGTAAGTTATATTATATTATTATGATTTTTGATGATATATAAATTTTATACCTAAAAAAAATATCAAAGCTCTAGATCAAAATATTTTATTTATGTACTTTATTACAACTTTATTATAGTCTATGTATAATTTGTTAATAGTTTGCATAATTAATGCAATTAAATTATTGTTCAAATTTATAATGCAAATTTTTTCAATTTTTTTTTTTACTTTGTAAATTGCGTGTACATTCTATTAAAATAAAATATAATTTTTATGTGCAAATGATAACCAAATATATTTGAATATATTTTAGTATTTTTACAATAATATATTTTAATGTATTTAAATCATAATATTCATTTTATATACTTACGATGCATACATTAAATAAACTCTTGATTGAGCATTTTTTAATTCTAGTAATTGATCTTTGAAATTTTGAAGTCCTGGTTCAAATTCAATAACATATTCGACCTATAAAAGAAATATAAAATTACAGTCTCTAAAATATATTTTTATGATAAAATTATTAATAATACAACTAGGCTGTAATGACATAGTTTATTAAACGATTTGGAATCATATTTGTTTATATAATAGTTCGTCAAATATAAATAACGTTTATAAATAAAGAGAGAACATGATTATTATTGAGAAATCGCAAACAAACTTATTTTCAATCATTCAAATCCTTTACACAAACGCTAAAGATTTGATTTCAGTCGACTGGCAAGCATTTTTAGAACATACTCCATTTTTTAATTTAGATTATATTCAAATGAATATATTACTTGATTTTTAAATTATAATGATTGTGAGAATTGCACAGAAAATACATTGTATAGAATTAATTTAATGGTAATATATTTCTGTTCGAAACTGTTTGATTTCTTGGCTCGAACTGCCAATGTTTCGATTGTTTTAATTTACCGTCCGCCCTAGCAGGTGCTTGGAAAGAATTTAAGTGGAATGACTGTAGAAATACAGTATCCACTTCTTCGATAAATATGGTTTATTTACAATTACACTATTGTTTTGTTGGATTTTTATATTATGGAAAGGTGTATACTATACTCAATGTCATCGTTACAGTTGCTTCGAACTGATCTTCTGTTGAATAAGTTATCTACTCGAAATGCTCCTTGATAATGATGATTTGAATTCTTCTTGCTGATTTTGTAATGATCAGCAATGTTTAAGCACACTTTTTATTAGTGAATGTGCTTTATGCTATGTAATAATATCGTCATTCTAGTCTCGTAAGGTCTGGCAATGATTATAATAGCTTACTAATTTTGTAAGGATTAGCAATTTCGTTTGCATAGACTTTGTTTACTCACAGCGATGCAGTAGCCTTCATCTGATCTTACGATGAGTAGTTCACTATTCGGAATGCTCCTTCATGATGGTGATGA